GGTACCTCTCTCTTTTAGTATGACGGTTTGAGGAGCATACTTTGCTGTTCAGAGATTCGTTATTTCCACTAATCATCCATATGATTGACAACCCGCACAAGTTTTCTGAACCATTTCTGACACCCACTAATCACAAGGAGTCCATTTTGTACTGCAATTTGGCATAACCCTGCACTGATCCTCTGAAGCACCTACATCACTCTTCGTGTTGCGACCGATTAAGCTTCTAAAATGATGCCGCAGTTGATTTTTTCCTCTCTTTCATAATGGCCAAATTTACATAATGCAATTGCTTGCACGTCGCAGGCCAAATTTTACATCAGCCCAAGTTTACATATTACAAGTATAACGTATTTTAAGCCAAACTTGCATAAATGTGCTGTATCATTGCTATAAAAGTGCTCGAGATGTTCATAGAGGCATTTTGAAAATTGTTTGAAATGCTGGCCACTCGGTTCGTTCCCCCACATACAAAGCAAGCAGCGGAAATTTAGTGGGGAAGAACCATTGGAAAACTGGCTGACTGATGCCATCCCTGGGCCATGTTCATTCGGGCAACAGTGATCATGGCCACAACAACAATCGCAACAACGACGCCATGGAGGCGAGGCAGTGAAAACGAGTTATTTAATGTCCAAAACCGGAGAAGCAGCATAGGCAACAAGTTTCTGAAAAAAAAAAAACACGGAAGGAAGTACAGCTGGCATCGACAAGAAGACGGAAGCGAGTAAGGCGCCGAAAAATGAAATAGCTCAAAAGTGCAGCTATTTGATAATCGAACGATACCTTAAGTGATGCTACATACATTTCTGGCCTAGCGATTATTCGATCGTGGTCAGCGCCAACCGTGATCGGAATAATGACTCTGAAGAAATGGACCACTGGTCAGCAACGGAAACGGCACAGCCCATGTAATCTTGCTTGGGACTGCAACGTGGACAAAAAACAAAGCAACAGTGAGTGGCCATTGAAAAAGATAAAGAGGATGGGTACCAAGAAAGCGATGCGTTCAACGATAATGATGGCGAAGATGTTGGAGCAAACAGTGATAGACAGTGAAAGCAAATGAAAAGAAAATGCGAAGAAATTGTTTGTGTGGTGTTATTGCCCTTGCTGCAGAAATGGATACAATTTCATGGAGATACGCTTAGAAAATTTTTTTCCGAAGGGTGAACAAGTTCAGATATTTTCGAGGTTCGATTAACTGTGAGGTCAAAGAACTGATATTTCTACTACTTCTGTGGCAAATTACGACTGCACGAGGAAACAATGTTGTGTGGTTTGCATTTTTTGTCTGAATTTCTGATTCAATTCGGAAGATGTATTAGAAAATAGCTAAATGAATCCTGAAGAACCCATATTAGTGAGCTTAAATGAATTCTGGAAAATGTGCAGAATGCGTTAAAGTGAATTCGGAAAATACACAGAAAATGTTCAAACGAATCCAAGAAATGCGCGGAATGCGTTCGAGTGAATACAGAAAATGTACAGAGAGCATTTTAATGAACACATACAAAGAGACCCGCGGGTGCTTGGGTGAGATCGGGAAATGCTGAGGAAAAGCATGGATGAGTGA